TCAGCGGGATGGGACCAGCGCTCACAGAGAGCTTACCCCTCCGCCGTGCCCATTACTGCGTTTGACACTGCACCTGAGGCGCCACGCAGTGTGGTAGCAAAGCGCGTGATGTCTGTGTTAACAATGCCACGTCGATCGGGACATGCTGCCATTTCCTCCAAGGGTTTGGGTGAACGTAGTGCAAGTGCCCCGGACTCGCATCCTTGAAACCGACCTTGAAAAGCCCGGCAAACTTGAAAGCAGGAACCAAGATCGAGCCAACTAAGAGCAAGCAAAAAAATTTGCTTAATCTCTTACCAACTGCAGGTATTACATTGCCAAAACCGGCTAACTTTTCCTTCGACCTCCTGTCAAGCTGTGCCAGGGGCCCATTAACAATGAATGCACTTAGGTCCACTAGAGCTTATACAAATAAAGGCTTCAAAGTTCTCTCCTTCCCTAGATTTAAAACAGTTTTACCTCAGTCAGTACACAACACACTCAAGGATGCCTGTAAAGTGAATGCTGTGTTATCTCACACTAAGTTTTATTCTTGAGGCTAGTTTAAGCAGCAATTTTAAATCATTTCAGTGATGCAGCAATTTCAAGGTCGGCTTACATCTGCAACTCACTCACTTCAAGCCCGCAGCTTCTCTAAAGTTTGTATCATTAGCAGAGTCATAGTCAGTTATGTATGCCAATGGAGTCTGCAACTTGATAGGCCTCTTCTTCTATACTGCAGACCTACCACCACATATTATATTGCTTACAACATTAATTTCTTATAATATAAATTTTATTTGTATTATTATACTTACATACTTATATTGTTCTTTCTCCACAATTCTATCTGTTCTTTGTGTTCTTGGTAACTTCTTAGAAATCAACCGATTATCAAGCATGACCATTTCAAATTAGACAGTGTTTCATGCAACATTTTATTGTAAAAATAATTTAAGATGAGATTTACAGTTCAGACCTCTGTAAGGTTAGGAGCATTGTACAAGTGTGTTCCATTCTGAAGTAAGCTGTACTTCAAGAATTAAGACCAGAAAATCTGGCCTAACTGTAGATTCAGAAAGTCATTGTTACTGGAATCGTTAAGTGAAACCAACAAATGCAGCAAAAGCTGGAGTAAAGCTATTGCTTGGTACTTTTATTCATATGCATGCAGAAGAGTGTAGTCAGTTTTGAAACGGCACTCCAGACAACTAAGCCTATGCTAACCAAAAAGTATTCTAAACTAATGCTAGTTGAATAACTCCGCAAGACAGACATTTAATGACTGGGTATTTTTAGGAATGATCTTCTGGGCCCTTTTGCTTCATTGGTGCACTTTATCTTCTTCATACAGGCAGCTCATTTTGCTCCTGCCTGCAGAGACTTCCTTTCATTAGCCGCTTTTTGCTTTTGCTGCATAATTTCAGAGTCCCTGTGAAGAAAAAAAGTTGGGTTTCAGATACTGGCTCACTGTTTTTCTAAGTAGAACCTCTTCCAGCCTGTTTTTGCTCTTTAGCAACTCCCATTTCAAAAAGGGAAAAAGATTAGCATAAAACTTCTCAGTTAGCCAGCCATAAGCACACTATTTCTATTATACCGGGTTTTTTTAGTACAGTACCCCATGAGGTAAACAAGTTACTTGATTAGTAGGCCTTCTGTTATTCTCTTAGTTTTAGAAATAAAGGACACAATGTGTCAAACATCTTCATGGAAGTATTACACAATCTTTTCCTGTTCGTATCAGGCAAAAAGCTGATAAAAAAGAAATAAAAGCTTTGCAGGTCTTACCAAAAATAAATAACAGCACATACAGTAAAACCTAAATCCATGGTTTATGCTTTGGCATGTGAATGGACTGTGAATCAAAGCAAAGTACTTAAATGCTGTTTCAGCTACAACTGAATTCCTTCTGACCCATTTTCCCCAACCATTTCATTCAGCTTTACTGGATCTTACCTCTGTTTTCTCTGAGAAGCAGACAAGCTATCCTCTTTCCTTTTCCCTTTGTGGATCTCCTGAGTCTTCTTCAGGTTCTTTTGGCGGGCAAGTTCACGCTGGTTCCCACCTGTAAGATAACATACAGTTAAACAGGTACTACCACTTTTTACACACAGTTTGCCTGTGTAGAAGTCTGTTATAAAGGTTTGGCTCAATCTGTACAGCTGATATGGCAGTATCTTCTGTAGTTGGCACTATCCTCCATGACAGTCTCCCCCTCCAACGCACAATGGAAGGCATGAAAGCCTGTTAGTTCTCACATTTACCTTTCTACAGGCCATGTCCAAGAGATCACCAAAACCCACTCCAACAGTCCTTCCAAAAATGCAATGTAGTTTCCCATAAAAGACTGAAGGCAAACCATCCCATGAACAGCATGGGCAAAATGATGACAGTAATTCATCCAAAGAGGAGCCATCCTCTATCTCAAACACATTCCAGCACCCAATACTGGTTACAGACAATTGCCACAGCCATCATAATTACAAAGTCTTCTGTATCAGCTGACAATCTTTCCTTAGTATCCACCGCCTTATGGCAGTTTTGGTCTGCTCTAACCTGTCAGAGCTGGCTCACTTGCTTGGTACTTCTTCTTGCTCTGCTCTTTTTGGACTCAAAAGTGTTCCACATATGCTAGGTATAACCACTTGTGCTGTTGAACAAACATGACCACATTTTTCCATGCTCAAAAATGAGAGCTCCATCTCCCCATAATTTCTCTTGTGCCTCTTTTCAGTCTGCCTCCAGTTTTAAGACTATCTATGCTGCCTTTCAGTCTCCAAGACAAGGATGTCACTGTTTAAGACTGGCCTGGCAATTAAAGCAGATGACAGATTCTATTAATCCCTTCCTTCCCCAGAAGGGAAAGGAAAAGATAAAAGGGAGAGAGACTTCTGGGTTGGAAAATTAAAATAACTTTAATAAAACAGTTACAATGAAAATGAGTGTAATACGAGTAATAATAATAATAGAAATAATAAAAAAATGTACAAAACCAATATTGAGCTTCCCCATGATGATCACAGAAATGCTGATGCGGCAGGGTGGGTGCCAGGATGCCCCAGCCTGGACTTGGCAGCAGACAGGAACTGGATTCAGGAATGCACATACTGGGATTGGTGGCAGGAGAATGAGCAGAGTCCTACAGCGATGCTGGCCATAAAAGAAGAAGGGCTGAGTTCAGAAAGTGCCCTTACTCAGAAGAAACTTAACTGAATGAAAATCTACTGAAAGGAGAATTGGTCCTGTTTTAGCCAGAACTAGGACACTCCAATCTTGAGGTGCCTGTAATTTCAGGTATGTGAAAGCAGTTTAGGACTAGGTCAATTTTAAATAGCAACCCGTTGATACTATCCACAGCTTTGAACTCACCCTATTTCTGGGCTGATAAAGGCACCTGCCATGTCAACAAACAGGCAAGAGCAACCCTGCAGAAGCAGGAGTTCTGTGCATTCTTCCCATTAGTATGTGTACTGTCTGGCAAGAGGTGCCAGAAGCCCAAATGAAAGCAGGGTATTATGACTGCTGCTTCCTGAGGGCTGCTCCTGCCTTGGAAGATATACTTCACCTGTGACAGGACATCAAGTACAACCTTCTGAAAAAGCTAAGAGAACTCCTGCTCCGTTCTCCTCGCTAGCATTCAGTCAGATCCTGTCCCCAAACTCCATGTAGAACAAGGGCCACTCTTTGTTCAGATACTGAAGTACAACAGCTATCTATCTCTGGCAGTACTGGTGTTGATTAGAACTTGATGACTCATGAGCATATGATACATTCCAGGCTATAAATGGGTCTTGAGTTTCGTGGTGCTCAGTAGGCATGAATATCGTATGAACAAGCTAGCAGCAATGAAGCAGCTCTTCTGCGGTGCTTTAAGAAATTAAGTATCTTTTATCATGAAAAAAAAGAGGCAGGAAGTCAAACTGCATTGCAATATTCAGAATTCATATAGCAGTTATCCTCTACCCTTAACCTTATGCACCTCCAAGCAGACATTCTGCAGAGTGTCTGCAGAGTTATTCCATGCACATGGTAAGACTGTAAACTTAAGAACCAAACTGAATGGTACCACTGAAAAGCTTCTCTGCCACTTCTGCACAGCAAAGCAGAGGCGGTAGAAAAGTACAGCAATACAGTATGCACACAAGGCATACAGAGCCAAACAACTATTTGAAAAGAAACTTACTTGTACCATCCCTGCTTCCAAGAAACTCTGAATGAGTATTCCAAGCTCCAAGGGAGACAGTGCTGTTTGCTACATTCTGGAACACCAACCTAATCTTCCATAAAGCATGGTCCAGTCCTAACAGAAGGCAATTCAGCTTCCTATAATGTGAAATTCAAGCATGAACTGCCACATAAAAGCCAGCAGACCCTTCCTGCTTATACCTATACTTAAGTATCCCAATCCTTGCCTGCCTCTGCAAGACATATGCCTTAGTTCAACCTGTCCCTGCTCTTCCAAATCCAAGGTAAGCAAAAGCACTGGAACAAGCAGTAATAATTTGTGCTGTTTAGGAGGTCAAGGAGAATGGCAGTAAGGACTGGCTACTGAGGTCATTATCCCTAGAGTTCTTTCTGAGCAACAAAGGATCTAATCACATGTCAGACCTTAATGCAAAGTGCCTGTCACTGTGTCTCAAAAATAGAAAGCAACAGTAAACAGAGTAAACAGTTTCATGCAAGAACAAAGCAATAACGGAAGACAAGTGAAAAAAAAAAAGCTGAAATGCATCTAGACAACACCACCTTTACAAATTTATTCAGTTTTCAGGTACTTTGAAATTTGGCAGTGCAACAAGTACCATGAATTTATGAACTCAGAGACATAGTAAGTAGCTGATAAAAAGCAATCCATTCTTATTCTATTTTACTATATGTCCATTTTAAATCACAGGGTGTAGTCCAGGTCTGATTGACAACAAAGCCCTGAACTCTGGAAACATGTACTAAAGCTAAGACTAGACTGTATGGCAGCACACCACAACTTGCATTCCCTCGAGTATTTCAGATACTGTATTAAACCAGGTCATGGTAAAATGAAATGTTACCGTTTTGCTGTGCTCATGTGTGGAACACTGTGCCTCGTTTTAACCTTAATCTATGCTTATTTTCAGCATCACGGAGAACAGGGGAAAAAAATATCAACAAAAGCCATAAACCTGCCTCTTCCTCACTTCAAGGTCTGATCCGTGCACAAATTGTTTAATATCCAGGTCTTCATCTGCACTTCCAGCAGTACAGTGGCTTTGAAACTAGGTATTTTTAAGTGTGAATGTGAAAGCACCTCCTCAATCAAGCACAGGCAGCTTCTGTATCGCCAAGTATAATACACAGAAGCCAAACGAGATATCCCACCAGCTAGGTGAGCCGGAGAATTCTAGGTTTGGTTCACAGTTCTCTGCCATTTTAGAGCAGATACACCAATCTTACTTTTGCGTAAGGTCATGATTAGCAAGTCCTGTTGCCCTTTCAACGACAACCTTGACAACCTTAACAACCACCATTCAAGGAACGTAGTATTCGACTATTTGGCAGCGATATAAAACCCCTTTATTTA